TAGATGAGTAATAATTTATGAATGTAAACTATGATCAGAACAATTAAAAATATGCAAAAATTCATTTCATTTTATAAATCTGTTAAAGCTTTTTAAATATTTTTAAAAAGAAAAACAGGTATCATAAGCAAAGATAGATAGTGGATAGTGATGGAATCCAAGGAGTGCGTTTCGTCCTATTTAGGACTCGTCAACTGGATGAACGGTACTGTAATCAAGTCCTTGAGCGAAAATCAATCCTGACATGCAGGTACATCCAGCTGACGAGTCCGAAGATAGGATGAAATGTGCATTCTAAATTCCAATACTAACTACTATCCATCTTTGTATAAAATTCTTGTAAATTAAGGCAATATCAAGGCAGTTCACATAGGATACACATATGCCAATAAATGACTGATCAATTATACTTCTAAAACAATAATGGGAACATACAAATAAACAATATCAATTGAAGGAAAAAAAGTATATCAAATTTTTGGATAAAGTAACACCTTTGACAAAATCAAATGATTATAAAATAATGAAAATTGAACTGGAAGATATTTAAAGAAGGATAGTCATATTATTGAAACAATGTCTACAGGTTATTGGTATTTGTTAAGTTCTCTTCTATAGAATTTTCTTTACAAATTTTTCACAATAAAGATATGATAATTGATGTTATAATGAATATAGAATTTTTGTTCAAGAAAACTGAACTTGCAATGTCTAACAGCTAAAATGATAACGATTTTACTATTGTTTACCGAATAAGAATGTATGATGGTCTATGAAACTGTTGGATATAAAAAGAGCTTACTTTCAGCCTAACAGGAGATTGCATCGACATGTCAAAAGAACTTATAATCATGGATAATGGTGAGGTAATAAATTATTTAACTAAATAAGGTCACCACCAACACCAAGTCATTATCTAGATCGATATAGGAAACAAAATCATGAGTCAGTCCAATTAACGCAATTACTGAACAGGTGTTTCATCCTAATACGAGGTCGTGAAGGCGAAATTCTTAGAAGTCGCCTATCATTTTCTTCCACATTTCCAATGGTTGTCTAACTCAAATCGATTCATGATTTTAGTCAAATTAAGCACTTCCTAAAATGCAAAACTGTTAACCTGTTGTTGTTCAACATTTCGGTTTATACGCATCTCAACAATCTTTAATCTATACTGATTTCAAAAGTGGGTCCGTCCCGCATTAGGAAAACCATAGTAACACAGATGAAATACATACATACACACAACAAAACAATGTTACTGTGTGATCAACTAATTCAAATCAACTGGTTCAACACACACACACACACAGAATTCATTACAATAAACATAGTTATCAACTATCTAACAGACTCAAATCATAAAACTCTGAAAGCTATCAATTCACTTGAATAATAAACGTTTCAATCATTTCCATCATCATACTAATAGCTTATCATTGTTAATGCAGTAAGTACTTTTGGCACACACCCTCCTTACAGCATATAGTTACAATCTTTAATATTATTATTATTATTATTATTATTATTATTATTATTATTATTATGAAATACTTATGTCAAGTGTTGTGATTGGCAAACAACAACAATCCTTTTAGGAAATCTAATGATGTTCTCTCTCATTTACAATAACAAATGAAAAGTCTGTATTGTGCCGATGAAACCATTTGAGCAAATTACAACACATGTAAATACATCAGATGATAATGATGATGGTCATCATCATCATAACTTGTACAAAGTTGATATTACACTTGATTACATTTCGATAGAGATTATACAACAAACGATTAGTTTAATGATGATTACAATACCATCTCAATTGTGTCACTTCATCATATTGTGTGAATATATTTCTTCTTTGAATTTTTCATTATATCATTATGTACAATGTTCATGGGAAATGATACATGAGAATATCTTGTTTAATTATTTCACATAGAAAACTTGATCAGTATGAGATTGTGGAGATTATGAAGTTTTTGATTGAGATCATGAATCGATTGATGTTAGATCACCATTGAAAACCTGGAAGCACTGGATGTCTGTTTTGTCAATTGGTAGAGGTTAGACATTAACACTGTTAGGTGACGACTCAGTGGTTTTAGACGTTAAGCGTTCGCGACAGAGATCACGTGTGCACACAGCTGGGGGGTCTCGTTATAGGATGAAACGGCCGTCCAGTGCTTCTAAGTTTTTATTAGTGGTCTAACGTCAGTTGATTCATGATCTCAAATGGAAACTTTGCCGATAACTATAGCCTGATTCTCACCGTGTCACCCTGTCACTATAATTAACACACAATTTTCGATATTTCATCAATTAAATAATTGAACTGATGATAGATGATGCAGTCTAATCCTTGATACATGGATCAGTGTCTCAGTGGCTTGAGGTGTTCCAATCTCGATTACAAAGTTGCATGTTCCAACTCCATTAAGTCTACTTGTGCTTGCACAACTATGTAGTATCACTTCTCTTCACACGTAAGTATATGTTTCAATATTATATATACAAATCTTTAAAACGTAAATTAGTCGGTAAATGAAATTCCTTAATGTTGTCGGCCCCCAAATGCCCTGGTATAGCCGAGAGCGGGGTGCGCTCGACCTCCCTCTCGAAATACTCTCACACGGCCACGCGTATACAGCCTCTGCCAGGGAAGTCCTACTCACTGCCTTCACGTGGCATAACTGTTGTTTACGAAAATGAGAGGACGAAAAGCGAATGTCCGGCGCTTTAATGGGATCCCAAACCAATGGTGCACATGGGCTAGCTCCAGTGTCCTGAAGGAACAAATGGCGTATGAACCAATTTCTTGGTCACCGGCTGCCATGGGACTGCATCTCCTCGCGATGCTTCATTGCCTTGTCGGTTAGACCTTCAGGTCAAAGGCTCGGGGTGTGGCTCCCTAATAAAGCAACCTGCTTCGGTTTGGGCACCCGGACAGTATCACAGCTCACACACAAATACGATGAAAATGACGATATTTGCTGAAAATTCTATTATCGCTTCGATTTACAGTCAAACAACTCACATTATTATTATTATTTACTGTGTCATTTATTCACCCTCTTTTATTTCCATTCTGTGTATATTTATTTTTCGACTTATACAGCAGCTCGCCTATGGTGAAAATTCGGTTCTATATAAACGTTCTCGAGTCACTGCCTGGTTGAAAATTGTATGCTACCACCGAATACGAATACTGAAGCAGTTTTTCTGAAACCACGTGCACCATTCAAACCGGCTACCTTTAACATTCTCACACTTATGCAGTTCGGACAACAGATAGAGTTGGCTATGTTTTTGGAAAATCTTAATATTGACGTTTTTTGTCTATCCGAGACCCGTATTCAAGACTCTGGTAAAGTACCACAAGTTCGCTCTCCATTTGTCGCTTAAAAAAGCTTGTTTTACGTGCGTTTATCTAGGGACTAATATTCTTTACAATCAACAATAAATGAATGAAAATGAAATAAAATAAATTTTGTATGATAAAATAATAAAACATTTGTAGTTACCTTAATCAATGACTTCAAAGTGAAAACATTCAAAGGCTTCATTGAAAAAAAGCATCACATCCATGAAATAATAAGCAACTATTCATTAGAACTGTTCAATATTAAAAGTACAAAGATCCTGAATATATGATATGATAAAGTTAAGAAAGCATTTAAACATTGAAACGAATAGTTTAACTGAAATCAGGCACCGAGTTTGTTTTGATTAGTAAAATATTTTTAATTATTGTATATACTACATAGGTTATTATTCCGTTGGAGCTACTACATGTCCAAGAAATACTGGCACATTATTATTCCATATGATTGAAATAAAGAATGGATGATCAACACGAAATTCAACATCAGGTTGATCAGATATACATAAAGAAAGAGGAATAACATTTGCAGAAGTGGCTGCAGCTGCTACTGCACCCTGCTCATCCACCTATTGACAAAAATCAATAAAACTGATATTGATAATTTTTAAATGGAAGAAACATTAGAAATAATTACAATATTTCACGTTACAGAGCATCTCAGATTTACTCATTATCATTTTATCTGAAGCATTCATTGATGTGAATAGTTTATGAGGGATTTTTCATAGCAGATTAAGTAATGTTTAGTTACCTTGTCTCCAATGTTCACCGAACTCTATGAATTAATGTGGTTCAACGTGCTTAATTTCCGGGAAGTAGAAATATGTGCGACATAATTGGAAATCGAAAGTCAACACCATAAGTTAATAAACTCACAGCTACAACCCTTCATTCGATCATGAAACACAAAAAACTTCTATTGAGATATAAAGTTCATTAGACTAGTGATAATACTGAAGCCAAGTCCACTAAACTTCATCATCTCTAACGAATAAACAACATGACATTGGTTACAATTCGCTGATCCGTCTATTTAAACATTCAGCTCATACAGGAGATCAGTTGTAGCACAAATAGTTCAGCAGTAACATCTTTGAAAGTGACAAGGGTTGATGGCAGACAGTTTTCCCAAGGTTTCAATTCAAGTTTTACAGTAACAAACTATCACTAAACCTAGGTCAATAGTTTCGTAACAGCTAACTCCAAACACTTTCAACACATCACTATGCACCGCAATGCCAATCTACTTAAACTATTGGTCACATTGCAACTTCCTCAATGGAATTTCATCACAGTTAAGGACAAAATGACACACTCTGTCATCAGTTACTGGAAAGCTAATACGAAAACACTTTTGTGAATAAAATTAATCACAATGAGTGGTGAAGTCTATTTCAAATATCACTAAGCAATCAAAGCTGATTAGTGCTTTAATAACCATTACAATCTGAAATGCAAAACAAATTTCTCTTCATAAACTATTCTTTCGTGAGTGATGAAAATATCAGTATCACTGATATGTGAAGTATTTTCAAGCGACTGACGAAAGCCTGTAGAAAATAGGCTGATGGATGGAGTTTAACATCCTTACACAAATCTATAACAAGGGATGTTTCCCAAACTTTCTGACCAACATAACTATTCTACACGGCTATCTGAATTTACTTCTCAAAGATTACCACATTCTGTGACTCTTCGTGGATTACCATCACTGACTCCAAGAGACGAATAGAGAACGTCAAAGTTATTGCTGCGGCTGGTCGTGATATTTCAACAAACTAAACAGATCGTTTCTCAATGAGCAACATTATTTTGAAATATCAATGTCACTCATGACTACCCAGAGTTTATTACATTCAAAATTATTTCATGACAAAGAGGTCAAGTGAGAAATCACGAAACATTATCTTATCGAAGTCCATCCGTGTGATACACGTTACTGGTGTTAAGTTGACTCAATATTTCGATAGAGTCCTATGCATCAAACTAGCAATCAGCTCTATATGTTGAAAGGTGTGGCTCCGAATAAATAGCAGGACGCATTACTCGCAAGTATAAATTCCTGTATAAACAAGTAGGCAGAAATCAAATCTCACCCATACTGACTACGACCGACGAGCGCTTCAAGTTTATTTCACAATCTTAACAGGTAAAAGCAATCTAACAACGAAGTTTGTTAAGAAACACAAAATTTATACGACTCACTTCAAGAATAGCTTTATGAAGTATATCTCCGATACAAAAATTACTTGATTCAGACATATTTTTAAAGTTAGCTGATCCTGGACAAAAAGCATCCTTCATTCCCATTTTCTGTAGATATTCTACAAGGCTAATAGCACTGCCTTCCTTCAGTTTGAACTTTGGTAAATACAAATTTACACTGGTCTCCATAAATTTAGAAGAAAGAATTGATGAAATTTTTTTGTTTTTAGACAATGATTTCAGTAAATCAGGTAATCCGTCATTTGTGTTTGGAAGAACAACCAATAATGAGAATCTACAACATGAATAGGTTCAAAACAGGATAATACAAAATAGAATATTAGGGTATAAATAAACAATCATTCAATATCTACATATTTAGAAACTGGTGTACTGAAATTTTAATGTCAACCAGACAAGTATATCATAAATAGCATTGTAATTTTGATATGGTTTTTGAATCAGTGAACATATCTGTTTTGGGTTTCATTTGTGGTGTTAATGAATCCTCATTTTCAGTCTTGCCGGGTTTTTTTGGATAGAGATAAATCAATCTTGTTCCACTGTAATAAGTAGCAGTTTTTTCACAATAATAACAAATAGTTATACCAAATTTTTATCAAGTCATTACATGGATATCTTCAGTCAGTCAGTAACAACGTGGAACTTCGTACGTACGTACATCAGTTCGAGTTGCCACACCACATTAGCACAGAGATTCAGTTATCGATTCAAATCCCGTAGTGGAAGAGGTAGTAATAAGGAACATTAGGGTTTGATGATATTATTTAAGGAGTATAGTCCTGTGGAATAGATTTGGAAAAATAAAAGACATGAAGAATACAGAAGATTAGAGTTTGAGAGAACACAGAGAGTGGATGCACCTGCGCCATTGCAAACGATTTTGAGCCATGTCATTCAAGGTCTCTAACCATCGGTTGCTATCATCTCGCGGATTCCAACCAAGTTGTTTACATCTACCAACATGGCTCAGTCCACTTGTTAGTGACTTCATAGATTTGTGCCATGTTTTGGTCTGGCCACCCCTAGCTTTCTTCCAACCTACTCCTACACCAGAAAACATCGCAATGGATATCTTCAACTTTTCCAAAACATGTTGTTAGTCTATTTAAACCGTATGAAATATGTATATCCACTGTTTGTTGTAAATACATAATCTTACTTATTGTCGCGATGATCTCAACTAAAATATTAGAAAGTAAACATTCACAGCTATTTACACAATGACGTGAAGTAACTAAAACTGTACACCGTTGTCTTTCTGATATCATAGATATTTACACATAAAAGTGAATCATTTTAGTATTCAACATTACAGCAAAAAGATTAAAAACATTTTGCAAAGAAATCTTAACTCACTTAACCAAGACTAATAGACCTCTTTAGATTTCTATAATATATATAATTTTTGGCCTTCTTTTTAGTAGTGTGAATCATTCTACAAAGCTAAAGTTTGATTGATTCATCAACAGATGTAGAAAATCCCCCAGTCTGGATTATTTTCTTAAGACTTCTGAAGTGCAATATATGCATGACAATAACTAATAACAAGTGAAATTAATCAATGAAATTAATAACAAGTTTCCCAAATATTTTATTTGAATGTATCCAGCAGATTATTGTCAAGAAACCAGATGATATCAGTGAAGAGGAAATATAATATTCTGTCACTTCTGAAGATCAATGAAAGCAAGACTGCTAAGCTGACTATAGAGAGGGTGGAAAGAATCTTGCTTCAGTGGTGAAGTTTCAAGAAATGGCATAGATGTTTGCTCTCACTATTGATAGTCACTGGACTTAGTACTATATAGTCGTCTATAATGAGACCAAGGAATTGTTTGATGAAAACACGTACATAAATCGTGTTGCTCAGTTCTTTATTTTCTTCATAGTTTTTATTTGGTTTTCAATAAAAAGGATTCATGGACGCTCATCGAGAGGACATTTTGCAAAATCCCTAATATGTAATTGTCCAAAACATTAAAAAAACAACAAACATGAAAACTGAGTGGAAATTAAAAGCGTCTAAGTATCTCGAGGACTTCTAGGTTTGGCTAGAGTCAGTTGATATTGTTTACAGATTAATTATGACCGAATATCTGATTCTGCATAAAGATCTCTGTCATGTTGTTATCGGCCAAGCATTACTTCGTAAACATACAGAGTTTCGATAAATGTTAGTTATTCTATCATCCTTGCAAGTTAAGTATACAACTAGTAATCCAGTTTACATTTTGGGACGTCGTTGTTTCTTAAATTGAAATGATTACTTTATTTGATTGAAATGCTATTCACCTATTAGATCTTGCAAATAAATCTTATGCTTCCTGAAAGCATTTCTATGATTATAATAATTGATTGTAAAAATTCTTATGTGTAAGCAAAGTCATATGAGAGCAGGATCGAATTTTACAATTTATGTAACCAGTATGAATTATTAGGATCCCCGATATGCAAAGATGAAATTTATCGATATAAAGATTAACTTAGAGATAGATTCACTGAAATTTAATCGTACATAAAAGATATACAGTAGCGTTTAAGAGGTTCAAAGCAAGACTACGCCTAGCCAAACGCGACACGGAGAATTCACTTTTGAGCTATATTATTTAATTTTCCCAGCTAACAACTTCAATTAAAAAGCTGATCACAACGATAAAGCCCATAATTCCCAAATGACAAAAATTAATGGCCCGTGAGATGATGTGGATTATCTGGTCTCAATAGCTAACTGGATGACGCGGTGGCGTATGAAGTATATGGTACTGGGCTTGACCCTCATAATGAACATCAAATCCGGAATGCAGATAGATTTAGATGATAAAGTCCAAAAATAGAGCAACCATTGCGTCCTGGACTCCACTGCTAGCCACATCCCATCTATTCTATATTAAGTTAGCGACTTTAAATATCGATAATATATACTGGAGCTTTTTCTACTTCATTCGTGGTTTATACAAAATTACAATTGGATTGAATTATACCTTGAACTAAACTACTTAGTTAAAAGTGACTAAACATGTGAAATAATTACCAAACATTTTTGAATTTTTTCTCATGAAAACTATGAAACTTTTTATCACCTTGGTTTTACAGATCTGATTGCTGCATAAACCCAAATGGTTAGTAATTCGGAAAGAAGCGCATCTTTTTTTATAGTATAAACTCATAATTCAGTGGCTGAAAGAATAGCATGAAGATTTTTGTGAACGAACCCAAAATTTTGTTCACTAAAACAAAGCAAGAATAAGTATTTTAAAAAGGTTTAAAAATACTTGCACTTACTTAGGATTTTTAAAAGGTATTTTGATAGCTCGTGACTTTAAATGTGGCAAGCTGACCATGTTGAATGAGGAATTAATATGCATAAACGTTACGTCTATTTTTGACTTGTCTAGACAAGAAAACTTATCATTGTAAGAGTTGAACACAGGAAAAGCCGATTTCCATAAACCTAGAAAACAGAACTGGTTATAAAGTTGTTAACAAACATGAAAATTATAATCGCCAAATAGAATGAAGAATTTAAGTCTTAAAAGACATTTATAGGTAATGTGAGCCAAACAGATAGACTCACCTTTGAAATATGTAGTAGCTAACACTACAACCGATGTGTCTTCTTTTAGGGACTCAGATGAGAGAAGTTGTTGGATCTTTCCGCTGGTTTGTTCACTAACCCATTGGTTTATTCGTTCACGAGCATATTCTTTATTCGTCTGAAATGTCACCTACACAGAGAATTAATAATCCGGAATACAGACCCACATGTTCTATCAGTGCATTATAGTAAGTCTTTAAATGAACTTTGAATTGGTGCTGAATACTAACATCATGTGCAGCAAAAAGTCCACTGCTAAAGATAATCTCAACATCATCAGGTTTTGAACAGTCATTTAGGAGGTCCCTAATCCCACTATGAAGTTTATCATGTTTTAAGCATCCAGATAATTGCATTGTTTTTATTATTTCAGCTTTTGTATTCGTTGCACTGCCGCACAAAACCATTCCAAGGGTAGTATAGATATTGAAAGGAGAGAGAAAAGTATTCTCCAGCGTGCCTAAACATACTAACTAGTGCACTGTTAAAGACTAGCTTACTCTGGTTTTTTTCCAATATCTTCCCATAAAACTTTTCGCTGAAGTTCATGAGCGATGGTTGTACATCCATCTTGTTTAGAGTTACGATCTGTCAAGACAACTAGAATAAATTATCTGTGTGACAAAAATACCTAAAACTACATACAAATAGGTCGCCCTTTAAAATACTGTGACAAAACACATTATTATAATAACGAGTTATTGTTCTGTAAGAAAAAGGCACGGTGCTTATGAACTACCCAGAATACATACAAAACTTACATTGTATACATAGTGCCTCTAAATACGGTTGAGGGTGGAGTCAGCTCTCCATCTCGAATTGCTTTCATTTAATAACGCGTATACAGCCACTGACTGGGAATTCCTACCCACTGCCTTCTCGCGGTGGGGGGGTGCAAATTTGAGAGGACGAAAAGCGAATGTCCGGCGCTTTAACCGGGCAATTAGATATAGAGGATCGGTTTAGAGGATTTGAAAAATCCTGATTCCAAACCAACCGTGAAAATGGGCTTTAGAGTCCTGAGTAGGACAAATGGCATATGAACCAATTATTGGTCACCGGCTACCATGGGACTCAATCTTCTGACGTTGCTCTACTGTTTTGTGAATTAGACTTTTAGATCAAAGGCGGATTGGGTGGCCCCATTCGTTCGTCCATTGCTCTTTAAAAAGAAAGGCGGCGAAACTATGATTGTTGGACGAACCAGCAAGACCTAAGATAACAAAACTTACGTTTTGACGCGAAATTCATTCATTCATATGATTAGATAGCACTTGAGCATTACGAATGATGTCAGTCCGTGATATAAACCCTAACTTTAAATCTCCACAGTACAGTTTTTTAAAAATTCGTTATACTATTCAAGTGGTGTAACGGAAATAGTTGCGGCAAAATTATATTTTGCCAAAGACTCTAAGCAAATTTAAAAACAATCTTGAGGCTAATCAATCAAGGACAGACAGAATGCAGCTTTTATAGAACTTTGAAACATATAAAAACAGGGAAAACAGGTTATTAGTCTTGAAATTACTGTTGGCACTAAATACAGATATCTTTGGATTCAAATTGTAGTGCATATTCTAACTAGACCCTAATTCGTAGCCCAAGACCTAACACTTCCGAAATACAGAATTTAATGGAAGTCACGAGTTACAGCAACATATTAACCACAATCATATCTTAAGTTCACACATCCTCTAGCCAATTTGGGTTATTCGCTCGAGGCCGCAGATGTAGTATAATTTCGTGACATTCGCTTCTATTATTTTATCCAAATATTGATTATCGTTGATGATAAACTCATTAAACTAAATTTTGTATTTAAAGTGAATTATCCCTATATTTACGATCGTAAAATTCGAAGTCCGTTTACGTTAACAGGACAAAGATGATGGAGTCTTTTGAGTGTACGAATAAAACTGTATCAAAATATAGGTCATTTTGGCTCAAAAGAATAAAATACTACCCAACTAAACATAGTGGTTATGAGCTCGAAGATCTGGACGATCACAGTGAAAACGCCAAACAATTCCAATCCACCCGCTGTCTTAATGCTTAATCCAATATTCAATATCAATATAAAGTGAACCAGCTGTTCGTACTCCTCTGTGGATGAATGTTCGAATATGCTATAAATATGTGACGACGGTAATAAGTAGCCAAATGAGGTTGGTGTTGGAGCAATTTATTTTAGGTATTTCTTTGTCTAGTCAGAGATTCAGGATAGGAAGCTAAAATGAAAAGCGGATTAAAGAAGTCGAGTGGGTCAACTCAATCTGATCAAGCGTTGCTAAATATTTGTAGTCAGACCAAAAATAAATTGTAATGAGTAGGGCAAGCAATCAATAAACATATGATCATATAAAATCAGTTGGGGTTAATATGTCAATAAATGACAAGATCAAAATGGGGACTTCTGGTGAGCGACCCACGCTCCTCTATGAGCTGTAACAGGCGTCGGTAGGTACTATCATCTAGTGGAGCGCTTTCGTCTCGGGGCAGTATGGATTCTGAATACCAGTAGCTATCATATTACGAGAATAGATGTCAGTTGTTTGCACTGTAAAATTAATGAAGTGGTAACTTCAGTGCTAAACAACGACGTTTCAATGACCTTGATAAATTAATTAACACAACATTCAGGGTCTGAATTGATAGGATAAGGTACATGTCAATAGGCTAGCATGATCTTCATGTTTGTTCATATTTTGCTTGTCTTTCGATGAATAAAAACAACAACGTACGTCGCAAACAACACTAATTCTGTTTCCATTACTTTTCTAGGAAGAGTTCAACAGATCATGGATGAATTCCAGAGGATATAAGAAGCACAGTCTTATGATGATACACGGTCAACATATAGTAGGCTCCAGGAGGTTTGTTAAAACATGTATTGAAGTTCATCATTTGTGAGTGATGAAAATTCAGAAGCCAAAATTATTACGAACTTCATCATCAAAAGAAGTAATGTGGTGTATCTGGAGGTTAATTCTTTTCTATTCGACTCCAATATATAATGTTTCTTATTTCAGTAGGCTAATTTTCCAAGCAAAACAATGAATTTGCCTGGAAATATTCGAAACTTAGAATATCAGATGCCGGGGGGTGTTGTTGTCACATTTATTTATATATATGTAGTGGCATTGAGCCCTAACCAAACAATCCTTAAAGCTGAACACGAGACAGCTGGGAAAATGGATATTCAACATTTAACGAGGAGAAAAAACCAAAGGCGTTAAGAAAGAATTGAATTAATTTAAATCGGTAGAACGGCATGGCTCGGCCTTGCAGGCGTGGTCAATCTGCACAACTTGCTTTTATTCACATTATATTTATTGTTCTTCATCATATATTGATAATTGTTACGATGCGATGAGGTGGTGTATATAAGAATGTGACTTCCACGTACGGTCTTATAGATTAGGCAGTTACATCATGACAAATCTACAATTTTAGGATTAGGTCTTTTATTAGAGCAGTATTGACATCATGGTAGACCATAATTCTGCATGTATTTATATTTATGTGCCACGCTAAATGCACAAGCGATTTGTCCCTAAATGATACACAGATAAATATAAGTCATAAACATTACATTAGCACGGATATGTCACAAAAGAACAAAAATACTTTGTCTGGAGTGTTTGGTGTGAGCAGAAATTAATCATCTTTTCGCTTTTATGGATTTACTTCCGCAAACAGTATTGTTTTTCAACGGTCGGCTTTATCTTAAGTCGATGGTTTTGAAAACAACTATTTTTTAGTATCAGTTGGTCCCTTAGTACGCGCTATGAAACAATATAAGTTTGGCTAGAGGTTTGAGGACAGTCATTTGTGCATATCATCGGCATAAGCAGCCGAGCAAATCTCCCACAAGCTGTGATCATCATTGTCAACTTTATACAAACACTTCCGAAAAGTTCATACTATTGTTATACAAACTGGTTGAGAGTTATAAGCTCCTTGTCTAAAACCTATGCTCTCTCTGATAATTACATGACTTGCACGCGCTTTATCGACTTATAGATATTCAGTTATCTAAAAATTTCTTAGATTACATCATATTTAATATTATTGGGTGAGCTGCGATAATTTCACACACCTAATTACAAATGAATTGAATTTTAGTTTCTGTTAAACTTAAAGCGGTCTCTGCATCAGTAGGCCTCAACATACACAAGGGGAAAACCATGGTCCTCAAATATAACACCGAGAACAGCACTCCGATCACTCTTGATAGCAAATCATCAAACTGCACCACGAGACAAGCGCTAACTTGGAATCCTGAAAGGAAGCGGAAGAGAGGAAGGCCAGGGAAATAAAAGCAGATTTGGAAAGGATTAATAAGAACTGGAAGGAGCTGGAAAGGATTGCCCAGGACAGGGTTGGATGGAGAATGCTGCTGAGCGGCCTGTGCTCTTTCACGAGGAGTAACAGGCGTAAGTAAATTTGACTTTAAGCTCATAACTAGCTTATATGCACAGTTTTTTTAGCTAACCATCTATAAGCACCAATATAGATAGCTGGCACTTTAAGTAATCAAAAAATTAAGGTTACAGAATCGCTCTCGCTGATGTAAACCTGTTGAACCAAATGTTGTCAGTTATGAGTACCAAATTCTGGAAATTATCTCTAGAGTCATGTAATGAAGCTCCACTTTACATGTATAACAGTCCATATGCTTTTGTGGCATAACTAAAATCTATCGCGCATGTGACCTATTTGATTATCATTAATATAGATAGAAAACAATTGTTCCATTCATACTTTAAGCGGTTTACCTCCGACAAACACTATGCGTTCCAGAGTGGCCTGTCAGGAATATTTAGTTTAATAGCCCATTCTTCTATTTTTTTCTCATTTCTAAGTAACTTGCAGTCAACAAACATCGTATGAATGTAAGATTTATGGGCAAGAGCACTGACCCCACACACATTCCAACCGTCGTCCTCTTAAATGCCAGGCCACACACTTTACCAATAGACCACACCGGTCCGTAGTAGACCTGACCGAAATATCTCACATTGATAGATTATTAGCGATTCCAATAAATAACAGATCATTCACCCGCTGGCGGTGCAAAGCAACTCAGTTCCAAGATGACCTCAGAAAATATAGACTCAATATAACATGCATATCGCTATGAAGCCAATCATATAGTTCACTAATAAGACTGCGATTACGTTGCTGAACCTTAAAAGCCTATTCAATCTTAAGACTTTCATTATTTTTACTATTATTGCTCATTCTTAATCTCATATTCTAATTTTTCCAGGCCAGCGGACACTTTCTGAATACTTGAGTTTACGAACCAGTTTGTAAAATGTTATCATCAAAGTCTCATGGTCATTTATTTGATTGAGTCTGATGATAGATAGAATTTCTGGCAGTTTCGCACAAATATTTTTTTATTAAAGAAGGAACTTTCAGGTTAATTAAGCTTTTATGCCCAAGATGTTTACACCGTGTCTATTTCCTTTCAGATCATCAATCCGTTCTGGAAGCCGAACACGTATGTGAAACCGAACATTTGTCGTTCATAGCAGCACATTTTCTTTTGCGTCTGATTATGTTGTTCGAACAGTGGTGCGGTTCTTCAGGTTCGACTAGCTTTAATTACTTTTCCGATGGAAGGTAGATTATTCTTGACCCTTGAATTCTGGACTACATGGGAGCTACTTAATAGACGGACAAAGTATGGAAAAATCGTACTTCACGAATATGATAGTTGGGTAGCTCGCTATTGGCACTCCCATAGATATTACCTTTTCATTTTTTTTAATCTCCATTCTCCAACAAGTTTTGATCCTTTTAGAGAGGATACGTTCAACAATTCATGAGCGATAATAAGTGGTTAGATGTAAACGCTACAAGATGAGATAACAAGCTAACGTAACAACTTAGGTTCATCTGTTAGTAGCTTGCCGCAAACATCTCAGTAATATCGAAACCGGGGCCAGATAAACACCATGCAAACATTTGGATGAGCATTGATGCAAAGGAATAAATACTCTGAGAATCGCTTCAAGGCGATATTTTGAACAGTATTATTATTTCCTTGCTCTTTTTCCTTGTTTTATATTTCACTTTCTTCTCAGGTCTCTTGTAACAACGTTTTATGTTCTGCAGTCAACAATTTAATTATTTGGTTTTGGTCAGAGATTTGTGATGGCATTGGATCCTAGCCACAATCCGCAGAGCCGAAAATGAGGCTTTCGACAGCAATACTAAATGAAGGCCAATAATTGTGTACGCAGTAACATTCATTCGGAATTCAACCAATCTAACGACATGGCTCGGCTCTGCAAGTGTGGTCTCTCTTGTGTAGTCATAATAAGTGTATTGTTCTATATCCTGCTCAAAGTTGTTCTTCATCATATATTGGTGATTGTTACGATACGACGAGTCGGTGTAGACAATGATGTGACTCGCACGTAAGATCTTATATATAAGGCAGTTACATCATGGCAGATCTACAATTTTAGGATAAGGTTTATTATTAGAACAGTAGATCATAATCCTGGAGTTTTGCTTTATAAGTTAGTATAACAGTTTCATGTTGCCATTGGCAATGGAATCGGGTTTGATCAGGCTCAAGAGTTTGGCGTGGTCTACTGCTAGAAATGGTCATTCGAATCGAATTTTGATCCCATCTTGTTGAAATTACTTTTACGGATTTCCAGGTACTGAATACGTATGTGTTTACCATTACTTTTGCTGTTTGACACATCATTCTGTGCTGGCGAATAATTTGAATGTATAGCATAGGCTGTACTATTTGAGACAGTTTGTTCTTTTGATATATTATTTTCTCTTTAGTCAGAACAGTTTAAGTAAGACATATAGTCTGTGTTACAGCATAATTTAAAGCAAGTCACTCAGAAGCACCAAACATGAGTAACAGAATAACCTAGTTTGTCCTAATCAAAGAAACGTTGGCTCGTTAGCTCTGATTTTATACCAAATGTAACGACCGAAGTGCCAATATTTGGCTTGAACGCAGGAACGGCGAACCGAAAATTATTCGGTTAGACCAAACTATGTTCTTATGTA